ATATGGAACTTTAACAGAAAACAGTCTTTCCTGTTAGTGGAGATATGTTAGTCAACACCACAATCCTAAATAAGTTGGGAGTGGTGTGTGTGGGGAGATCATTTTTTTTTCAGTCTTTCTCCACCTGTCTTGAGACAGTATTAAGAAGATAAATATTTAAGAATATTACAGGCCTAAGACTTTTTTTAAAAAATCATACTATACAAAAGATTACAAACTTAGTTCTTAGAATTAAACAACTAAAATTAATGACATGTTAAAAAACAATCTTGCTGTCAGCTCATGATACTAATTTACATAATCTGAATGTGGGGAAAATGCTAATTTAATTTAGCCAGGACAAATAATCTTTGCATATAATATTGAGTTCATCATCTAGCAGTGAATAAAGACCTTTAGAACTAATGCTTTATTATGGCCCATTTCACTGAAGCATGAACAAAAATGATGAGTTTATTTAATGTGGGGCTTCGTTGCCATGGACCGTTTGACTTGGGTCAAGAGGGGACAAATCATAAACTCAGGAAATGGAATAGGGGATGAGAAAAATTGCACCACACAATTTTGAGTGAGAAACTTGGCCTTGCACACCCCAAGAAGAGTGTTATATACACTACATGAGTCAGCGCCTTGGCAAGTTCAGGGGAGCTTGCTTTAGAAATTCAATGGATTCTTCTGTACTTAGATTTTTCTCAGAGTCTAACATCTGGAAGAGACTCTAGAGACCATCTAAGGAAATTTTTAGCATTAATGATGCTTGTGATTTTTTTAGTTGGTATATGGCTTAATGTATTTCATTTGCAAGAACTAATATTTTATTTATTTGAATATGTACACATATAATTAAGCAGGGAAGGAATACATCAGTGATTGAGGTTAATAAAATTCTAATATTTACCTGATGAACTAAATCTAGTCATTGGCTTCTTATTAAACATTCCAAATATCAACAAACTCACTTTCATAATGCATTCTAATGTTTTGGGGTGTTTCTTCTTTATAATGTTCTACTAGTATTTTCAAGTAAATAAATAGATCGATGAGTAGGTAAAGTAGGATAGGATGAAAACAATGCTGTAAATAAACATATTCTCTCTTGTATCTGACAGTTGTTCAAACACAAAATACCAGCTAAAGTCCACTCCAGGTCCGTTAGTACTTTTTATGGGTTGTAGTGTAGAGCTTCCCACTCTCTATGTGAGACAGACTCAGCTAGACCAGGTGTGATCTGAGCAGTATAAAACAGGAATTGTTGTTTCTCCATTTTGTACATGAACTTCCAGTAATGCAGCCTAAGATGGATTAAGTTTTTGGCAGGCATATCCCCATGTTGACTCATGCTGCACTTACCCTCAACTAAAACCATCAGGCAAGTTTTTCATATATTTGGTATTAAGTCAAACCCTCCACATCCTGTGTTTGTACAGCTCATTTCTGGGCCCAAATGTAAGACTTTACATTTATTCCTATTAACTTCTTTCTGTTTGATTCACTCCATTCTTCCAGATGCCTCTGTCATCATACATACTGTCAACCTCTTCAATGTCTTGGCATTTATAGCTGATCAGCAGGCCACCATCACTAATGGCAGTGCTCAGCAGGCCAGCATTAAAATAAATGTTCAAGAAAACTATTCTTGCATGCTTATGTAGATGGAATATTCATTTGGCAATATTCAGGCACAATTTCTCATACAACTAATAAACCTTTCAGAGTCATGTCATTTGGCAAACTGAGTATTTCTCTGCATTATCCATAGGATACTATGAGATGATACAATTTCTGACATCCAGGAAGTTTCCCTTATGTGAATTCTTGAGGTTAGAAAGGTTCTCAACCCTGCACTATTGACATTTGGAATGGATAACTCATTCTTGCCGAGGTTGGAAGTCGTGTGTATCATAGCATGTTTAGGAATTTCTACCCAGTAAAAGGCAGTTAAAAACTCTTTCTCCCTCACCCTTTTGCAGTAAGGGAGTCAGAAATGTCTTTACACATATCAAACTTCCTTGGGTGTGCAAAGTGGCTTCTTCCCATTGAGAATCAGCATTCAAGACTCTATGTTTCTATAAAGTGATTAATTATTTTATGGTTTTTGTTAACATTTTTATGGTAGAGTTGTAGGTGAAGTATTCACATACACCAATCACTCCTATATCGGGAACTAGATATGCAGCTAATTTATAAAAAGGTATCAATAATAAAAACAACATGACAAATAAATGGAAGGGGAATAATATAATCTTGATGTTTACAAGGGTAGAATAAGAGGAATTGCACGACAATTTTGTGATTTGAGGCAATCTATAAGGACTTTGTACTTGGGTGCTCATCATAGTACTATCTGAAAGAGCAAAAAGTATGTAGGCAGAATAATTGTTAGACAGTAGAAGGTAAATAACTTATTATACTAATCACACAGAATACTCAGCAGTGATCAACATGTTTGAAAACATAAATGGCATGGGAAAGTATTTGGAATATCATGATGTGAAAATATAACTATGTTATCTAAGCAGCATGTATAGCAAGTTTCCAAATAGTTATAGAAAACATAAAACTATTAACAATAGCTATGGGATTGTGATATAATTATTTATAATTTTAATAATCTTTATATTTTTATGCTTCCAAAATGTTCTTCCTGAGCTTTTGAGTTTTTCCCACCCCTGTGGTATGGGGTATTAATTCTAGAGCAGTGTTTCTCAACATGTGGGTCATGACCCCCTGGGGGGTCAAATGATTCTTATATCTGTGTACCCATTTTAAAGAGCAAATGGCCAAAACAGCTCATAAAATTCTTGAAGATTTAAAAACTGGTCCTGATAAACTGTTATCGCCAATGCTATACAGTGTGTACTTCATTTAAGTGCTTTAAATACTTAGAAAATGGTTAATGGAAAACTGTTGCACCCTTGAGAATTATGACAGAATTAGTAAGCAATAAGAATACTTGACTCATTTCAAAGAAGCAAATTTTGATTATATTAAGAAAAAAGGCCTGTATCATTATTTTCTATTTTCATTTTCACTCCATGACAACTCTCCATAAAGAATAGTACACTTGCTGAGATCTGTGGGAGCTGTAAATTGGTTTCCTATGGATGATGGACAGCCAGGGTTGTGAGCAACACCACATGCTCAGCCTCCACCCCCACCCTCCTTGGTCCTCTTGGTTCTTAACCACTGAGTGTTGAAATGACTTGGCCATTAATTAATTCTATAGCACCCAACCCTAAAATCGGGTCCTTCAACTTCTTCCTCAGCACCTGACTGAGACAATGTTGTCTGTAGGAAACCTATATTGGATCTGTTTTATGTGTTCATGTGTGGCAGGTGGCTTAAATGCAGGTTAATAGTACAGTTCTTTCAATATTTTTACCAGCCATATTTTAGGAATATTGGTCCTGAAGCCTATATAGTCAGCTGAGGCAAATTTACAGCTTTGCTTTTAAGAACAAAACTCCCTCAGGCACCTGCTTCCTAAAGGCAAACCTAGAAAGGAAATGAACCCTTGCTTAAAGACAGCCCACCTTATTTTATGAGTTATCAATTTTCTAGCTGGCACATAGTCTGCCCGCTACTGGGAGATTTTACCCCCATTTCAAGCAAGCAATGAACTGCAAAAAATGTCCAGTCTGCATTCTAGCAAACAGCTCAGATTCCCGAAGATGAGGCATGGACACAGTCTCAATAAATGAAATCAGGGGAGCAGCAAAGATCTATGATTTAGCCTCCCAGTGCAGATGTCTCTGCTAGAGCATGCATGAAAGTCTGTCCCTGAATTACATTTATGTTCCAGGAGTACTGAATCCTGGGCTATGATGGGGAGTGCTTTTCTTGTCTTTAGGGTAACTCTGTTAGGTGAATAGTCAACAATGATGTAGAACACTTGATTTCCTTTTAACTGCTCTGGTGACCCTGGAACCAGAGCTTATCAACTTCTCAAAAATGAGAAAGAACTAAATAGCTTCTCCCCCACCCCATGATTGGCAAAGTCAGTCTTCTCAATGGGAATTGACTGCAATATGGGGTTAAAGGTTAACAGGAGATACTTCAGACTACTGTGTGCAAGAAAACAGTGAATAGATGTGGTTCTCTTAGTATGTACACTACAGTGATAAAATATAAGAATGGACTCTTAAAAACCATAAGGATAGACTTAGCTAATGAGCAAGTGGAAAACCAGATACACCCGACTTCCCCTGAGAAATCACAGACAAATATGTATTATTAGATCCAGCTCTGCCTCATCTTAGTCTTTCTCTGAGCTTTATTTTGTTAGGAAGGCAAAAAATTTGCAGGAGCTATGTGAATATTCAATAGCATGTTTTAAAGTCAGATATTTACGCATCCACTTGGGAGAAGAGCCTGAGTTAAGATCAAAGATGGGTGAAGGCCCTCTTGTCCAAACGGAACATGGTGTTCCTCAAATGGGAGAATTCGGCCCTCACAAACTGCCATTACTGCTGAAAATGAAACTGGCTCTTTAACAGATGAACAGCATACTTTTCAGCTTGCTGATAGCCTAATAAAAGACAGTAGCTTTTGAAAAAGGGAGGACAGGAGGACATGTACTTCTCAAATAACATGACCCAAATGGAGTTAGCAGAATATAATTAAGAAGGGCATAGAGCAGACTGTCAAAAAATGAGGAGCAGACTAGGGGAACTTGAGAGTTCTAAACATCAATATCAAAATGACCTTTGGAGTAGCAGGGGGAAAAAAGCATTCTTTAAGCCATGGGGAAATACACACTGACAGAGTCAGAACCGGGAGTAGCATAGTATGGACTATAGGTACCGATAAAGGAAAACACAGCTATGATTTCTCCTTATAAATATGATAATGATTTGCTGGGAAGGTGGGTCACTTTGTCAGGAAGGTGCAGCCCTCTGCCATGTTTCTTAAAGTAAAATCACTTCTGTTGGTTATTGGGAGCCCCTGACTTAAGCACAGATTCTGTGGTCCACAAAGGGAGGGCTTTGATATCTGCTCACCTTTCTTTCTCCTCTTTCATTTTTTCCAGCTCTTCTTCTCCCAGGTTCCCGGGCTTCTGGGTACCTTTCTGCTCCACCTTTCCACCCTTATCATCTTTCTTCTTTCCGAATCTAGAGGGGAAGAACAAAGTTTATAACTCACACTGTTTTCTTTGGCAAATGTAAGACATGTATTACCTGAGAGCACATTCAACTATAATTCTTTATTCTAAACAGCACAAGAACAGTAGCATGAAACCAAAGAAGTAAAATAAGGTTACAAAAGCAGAAAAATATCACAGTTGCTCAATTTTCTTTTTTCTGTCCCCTCTTTCCTTCTTTTCATTCACATGTTGTGTATCAAACACAGCATTATGTCATTAAAGGTGAATAATTCTGACTACTAATCCAATGAAGAATTAAAATACAGAATGATTACCATTCATATGTAACTAAAAACTGAACAATTTTCTAATGAGACCCTCCAGAACTTCAGTCCATTGTCATTTTAAGGTAAAAATACATGAGATTATTTAATTACAGGCAACAAGGGATCTTACTGAATACTCAGTTAAATGCTCTCCTTTTATCAGGGAAGACTCAAAAGCTCTGGTGAAAATGGGGAGGGTGTTCTGAGCATTGATACTAACTTCCCACTGGTTCTGTCAAGGCTTGGGATCAGAACTAGTCTACATTGTATTCTATTCTCTTTCTCCCAGGTCACATTCACTCTATGATATAGCCCCCTGATGTGGAATGTCCTTTTGCATGCTCTGAATATATGCTTCTCTTATTGGTTAATGAATAAAGCTGTTTCAGCCAATGGACAGACAGGAGTAGCCAGGCAGGAAATATAGGCAGAACTACTGGACTAGGAGAAAGCAGGGGAAGAGGAATGCAGAGAGTGATTTGGAAGGGAGATGTCATGTAGCTTCAGAGGAAGCCAGAGGTCTGGGCATCACCAGTAAGCCAAGACCATGTGGAGATACAAAGATTAATAGAAATGGGTTAATAATTAAGAAAGAGCTAGCCAAATAAGAAGCCTGAGCCACTGGCCAAAAAGTTTCTAATTAATATGAGCCTCTTTATATTTATTTGGGACTGAAGGGTGGAGGGACTGGGATGGACAGAAACTTCCATCCACAAACTGTCCACAGCCCCCAGTTCCCAAGTTGCTCTAGGTTAGTGTGATTAGCACATCTGTCACATCTGCAGCTATATGCACATAGCAGCAACTGTGGCACATTACAAGAACAGATTTCCTCAGCATGTGCAAGAAAATGAAACCTGCACATACGAAATGAAAGAAGCTGTGGCTGAACTAAAACTAGGACCTGTCCTTAGTGTGACAGTCATCATAAACGAAATGATCAAAGGAATGCCTTCCATGGATGCATATTCTTCATTGTAGGCAGAATATTCTTAAATCTTTTTACCTTTAAATATTTATTCCTTTTTTAATTAAATAGCATTTTTTTTTGGATTTTTGAGAGAAGGTTGCTCTGTAGCTTTGGAGCCTGTCCTGGGACTTACTTTGTACACTAGGCTAGCCTCAAACTCACAGAGATTAGCTTGTCTCTGCCTTCTGAGTGTTGGGATTAAAGGCATGAGCCACCGGAGCCTGGAAAATTGCAAAATTTAGATATTTTGTTAGTTCCAATATATTGTCTATCTGCTTGTCCATTCATCCATCCATCCATCCATCCATCCATCCATCCATCCATCCATCCACCCACCTATTTGTGAACTGGGAGTTCTTAAAAATTAGCTGTGCTTAAGCTAGCTCTCCTTCCCTTTCATTGTAACAGAAATCAAAATCTCTTTCTGTGAAGATGTGACATAAAATTTGAAGATGGTCTTATATTCTCCCCAACCAGAATAACATTTTTTTAAAATCACAAAATGAGCTCTTGTTTATGTTTCCTTTGGAATTCCTTTTTGGTTTATGTTTCAGTCAAGGAAGAGGTTGCTAACAAATGATAACTCTGAGCATCACACACAGGAGACTCATGGCTCAGATAATCTTACTTTTAGCATGGAGCAGAATGCAGTAACACTTCCAAGTCTTGACTCTTCACCCTACTTTTCAACTTACAATTTCAGTTAACAAGGCTTTTTCTCACAAACTCTCTTCATTTGCCTGTATCTACTATTACAATTTTTTGCCATGTTCAGTTTTTCCTGTGACATTGGTCAACTGTCAGCCTTAGTTTCATTAGTTGACTCTAAGGTCTTCTGTACATACATACATACATACACACACACACACACACACACACACACACACACACACACACACCCGTGTGTATATATATAATACCTTGTATTTTATACAATGTACTTTGATCATATTCACTCCCAACTCATCCCTCTAACACCTTCTAGTCCCCCCACCTACCTATTGATCAGCTTCATGCTTTATTTATTTTTTATTGCTCATTGATACTAATTTGTGCTGTTCTTATACTCCTAGGTGTGTGGCCATCATGGTCAACCAACCAAGAGCCACAATCTTAAAGCAAATGCTCTCTCCCCTAGAAGCCATCAACTGTCCATAGGTTCAGGTCCTCAGTTAGGGGTAGGGGCTCCTTTCCCCTTAGTACTAGAATAGTAATTGTCTTGATCTTATTTAGGTAGCCACAACTGCTGTGAGTTCATGAGCTCAGTGGTCATGACCAGAAGATGCTGTCTCACCTCACTCTTCGCAACCTGTGGCTCTTACAATCTTTCAACCCCCTCTTTCACGATGTTCCTTGAGCTGTTGGTGGCTCAGCACTCCACTGACTTAATCTCTGCACATCCCTCCTCCTTCTTTCTACTCTGCCTCCACTTCTGAATCAATTCCTGTTCTTCACTGAAATATGACCTCATATCATTTATAGAAGCAGCTAGGAAACCAAGGAAAAAAGGCAGACAAAAAATATAAGAACATCAGCTTTCAAATATAATTCAGATTTGCTGATATATTCAAGACCTCACTATAACCTACAGAGCAGGAGATATCTAAATAGGATTTCCATGAATAGATTCCGTGGCTTTCTAGGCTGTACTCAGAAGAGGTTTAGGGATCATTCTTATTCTAAATATGTTCACAGGAGAAGTTAGCACCTTCATACATCACTTAGATAAAGAATTCTTCTCCCAAGATGCCATTGAATGTAATAACATTTGGGTAGAAAATTCGAAACATTAGAGAGTCAGGGTAGAAATGGTGCCTTGAAAAGTAGATATGAGCAGAGTGTTGCCAAAACTATAAGCTTGCTCCCTTTCACCCATGTCCTTCATTTTATTAAAAAAATTGAGGTTTTGGATTTTCTGAGATAAAAGCAGCATTGTGTTTGAAGGGTAAAAGTAACCTAGTCCATGTTTACCTTCATGGCTCTCACCATACTCCAGGCATACTTTTCCCTTGGTATCTAAACTATTTCACTCAAGCTGCAGTTCAAAAGTAGCTTGCTTGGCTCCCATCATAACAAAATATGTTTGACTGTTAGTTTTAACTTCTGCAAAGTATTTTCTTTTTATCAAGAACTGCTATCAAATCAGCCAGTTCCACAACTATTATAAATATTTCATTTAAAGTCTAATACGAAAGGCAGAAATAGCTGCAAAAATTCTTGTACTAGAGTGAAGATAACAGATCACATTGTTTAATAGAGTCTGGGGTGGTTTGGGAGCAAAATTAGGATAGAATGATCATGAAAAGGGCTCCACCTTGTTAAAGAGAAGAAACCCAATGCCACAGAAGTGAGTTGTGTTTTATCTATGATCACACTGATTTATTTTTTCAGCTTTGCAGTCAGATGACTTTGTCTTCAGTGGCAGAGGGAACAGCAGAGTTTAAGCGCAGTGAGGAGGAAAGCACCAATTTGCTTCTCCTTTCCATAGCATCCCTCTGGGAGATCATTTCACAGCATCCTTGCTTACCCAAGACACAGAAAGGAGAGTTTGGGATGTTCATCTTTCCATTAACTATTTTTGTGAAAAAAGTCATGAGGGCCTTAGATGGCCATGATCACTGTTTTGCATGTTAGAGGTTTGGGACAGCCCTTGCATTCCAGGCTCCTCTATTTGTTGCCTTAGGAATGTGAGAGTTGGTGATTCTGGGCTAGGAGCCTTAAGGAAATTGCTTATAGGTTAGCCTGGCTTTATATAAAAGATACTTTGCAGAGAAATTCTGAGCACACATATGGTTTCAATCAATAACATTTTATTTTACATGTACCTAGGTAGTCTGTTTAAAGAATCCCATGATGGATCTTTTTGTAAAGTGGAAAAATCACCTTTCAACATATTCTTTGTGCAAATTTACATTTTCACGAGTAAGTTTGCTTCAAACACCTGACCTTGTCCATTTCTATAGAGGTTACATTGAACAGCTTTGTGGGAAACTTCTGTCCCTTTCTTTCTTCCTTCTTTCTTTCCCCTCCCCTTTCTCTTTTTCTTCCTTCTCCCTTTTCTACTTCCTTCATTTCATGTTCCCTTAAAGAAGTATTTATTAGGCACCTACTGTGTGTTAGACATTATTGTAAACATTTGATATTGGTTCATACTAGGGTGCGATACAGAACTATCCACTAACCACCTGGAGCTTACCTTCTCAGAAAGAAGATGGTCATCAGCAAGCATAACTGGATAATTGCAAGTCATGAAAATTGTTAAGAAGGATGTTAGGAGAGATGATGATAGATACTCGTTCAACTAGAACATGTCTAGGTGCAGAAATGCTATTTGTCTGACAATGTACAAAGAAAATGGTCCCCAAAGGAGATGGCACTATTAGGAGTATGATAAAAAAGTATTGTTTGGCCAATGAGGCAGCAAGTTAGGCGGGACTAGGCGTCAAGGAGGATTCTGGGAAATGTAGTAAAGAAGTAGTGACCCACACAGGAAATAACATAGCAGGGAGACTCACAAACAAGGGCAAGAAAGAAGTGGGCCCCTTTTCTCTTCCTCCTGATCTCTGCTCTGAAGTCATCATGTGATCCACTGGCAAGAGAGGGTGCCAGCAGAAGGCATCCTCTATAAGATAAGTCTTATAAAATATATAGATTTATGATAATTAAGACTGAGCTAGTAGATGAGAAATCCTAGCCATTGGCCAAACAGCATTTGTACCTAATATAAGTCTC